AAAAAACAAAAAAAAAAAACAGGGATAAAAGGGCTCCTGAACACAGTAGTCTCACTGTTTTAAGATATGAAGAGGCCAGGTGCGGTAGCTCACACCTGTAATCACAGCAATTTGGGAGGCTGAGGCAAGAAGACTGCTTGAGCTATGATCAACGACACTGTAATGCAGCCTGGGTGACAGAGTGAGACCCCGTCTCTTAAAAAAATATATATATAGGCTGGGCGCAGTGGCTCACGCCTATAATCCCAGCACTTTGAGAGGCCAAGGCAGGCAGATCATAAGGTCAGGAGTTCAAGACCAGACTGGTCAACATAGTGAAACCCCCGTCTCTACTAAAAATACAAAAAAAATTAGTTGGGCATGGTGGCAAGTGCCTGTAGTCCCAGCTCCAGAGGCAGGACAATCGCTTGAACCCGGGAGGCGGAGGCTGCAGTGAGTCCAGATTACGCCATTGCACTCCAGTCTGGGTGACAGAGCAAGACTCCATCTCAAAAATAAATAAATTAATTAACTAATTAAAATAAAATTCAGTTGTACCACTACAGAACGTAAAACCTGAAGTTACTTTTCAAGCATTTTGATGACCTTTGTTTATAAAACTTACAGAAATAGAAAAAGTTGTTTATCTAACAATTATTAATTCCAAACAAGCTTTAATTATGTATAGAGCATTGACCTTACCATTGGGTCAGGTGACTACTAAAGAAGGGAGCATCATGGTCTTTGTTCCCAGGAAAAACTGATTTTAGCTGGGGGAAACCAAGAGCAGTAGGAATTACTACTTCATAAAACTCAGGGATAGGCTGGGCATGGTGGCTCACACCTGTAATCCTAGCACTTTGAGGTGGGGTGGATTGCCTGAGCTCAGGAGTTTGAGACCAGCCTGGGCAACATGGTGAAACCCCGTCTCTACTAAAACACAAAAAATTAGCTAGGTGTGGCAGCATGCACCTGTAGTCCCAGCTATTTGGGAGGCTGAAGTAGGAGAAATGCTTGAACCCAAGAGGCAGAGGTTGCAGTGAGCCGAGATTGCGCCACTGCACTCCAGCCTGGGCGACAGAGAAAGACTCTGTCTCCACAAAAAAAAAAAACAAAAACAAAAATGAAAAAACTCAGGGATAGAAGGGCTCCTGAATGTGCTAGTCTCAGCGTTGTAAGATATGAAGAGGCCAGGTGCAGTGGCTCACACCTGTAATCACAGCACTTTGGGAGGCTGAGGCAGGAAGACC